GTCACACTAGTCCATTATCTTGATGACATTACGGTGACTGGATCTACTAAGGAGGATGTATCGAAGACTGTAGACTCATTGGTACAACATCTGCATGTAAGAGGTTGGGAAATCAACCCAAGGAAAATTCAAGCACCTTCCACCCCAGTAACATTTTTTCTAGGGGTCCAGTGGTGTGGAGCATTTAGAAACATTCCTACTAAAGTGAAGGATAAGCTATTTCATCTGCCGACTCCCCCCGAGCCCTCCGCCCCAACAACTAGCAGGAGGCACAATGCCTAGTGGACCTCTTTGGATTTTGGAGGCAACATATTCCTCATTTGGGTGTTCTACTTCGACCTATTTAGCAAATGAAGGGAAAGACCTCCAATTCTGAGCGGGACCCAGAACAAGAAAGGACTGCTGTGCAAGCTACTTTGCCACCGGGACTACGTGATCCAGCTGACCCAATGGTACTAGAGGTGTAAATTGTAGTTAGAGATGCAGTGTGGAGTCTGGAGTCTTTGGCAGACTCCTATGTGAACCACATCATAGACCATTGTAGAATCTTGCCATCCTCTGCAGACAACTACTCCCCTTTTGAAAAACAACTGTTGGCCTGTTACTGGGCCCTACTGGAGACTGAATGCCTCACCATGGGCCAACAAGTCACCATGAGGCCTGAGCTTCCCATCATGAACTGGGTATTGTCTGACCCACAGAGTCATAAATTTGGACATGCACAGCAACATTCCATTGTTAAATGGAAGTGGTATAGATGAGATCGGGCTGGAGCAGGACCTGAAGGTACAAGTAAACTGCATGAAGAAGTGGCCCAAAAGCCCACAGTCTCCACTCCTGTCCCAGTACCTTCCTTCTCCCAGCTGCACCTATGGCTCCTGGGGAGTTCCTTATGATAAGTTAACTGAGAACTGAAAATTCATGCTTGGTTTACTGATGGCTCTGCATGATACATGGGTGCCGCTCATAAGTGGATAGAAACAGCAGCACTTACAGCCCCCTTCTGGGATCTCACCTAAAGCACAGTGATGAAAGGAAATCCTCCCAATGGGCAGAAATTTGAGCAGTGCACCTGGCTGTTCAGTTTGCCTAGAAAGGGAAATGGCCAAATTCACATTGTATACTGATTCATGGGCTGTGGCTAATGGTTGGGCTGAATGGTAAGGGAATTGGAAGGAACATGACTGGGAAAAATGGTGACAAGTAAGTGTAGGGAAGAGGTATGTAGATAGACCTCTGTGAATGGACCAAAAAGTAAAGATAATCATGTCTGATGTAAACGCTCACCAAAGGGTTACCTCTGAAGAGGAGGATTTAAACAATCAAGTGAATAAGATGATAATCAGTGTGGAGACTAGTCCTCCTCTTTCCTCTGCCACTCCTGTCATTGCCCAGTGGACACATAAACAAAGTGGACATGGTGGCAGGGATGAAGGTTATACACAAGTGCAGCCACATGGACTTCCACTCACCAAGGCTGATTTGGCCACTGCCACTGCTGAGTGTCCCATCTGCCAACAGAAGCCAATATTGAGTCCAAGATTTGGGATAATTCTTCGGGGAGATCAACCAGAAACCTGGTGGCAGGTTGATTACATAGGACCACTCCCATCATGGAAGGGGCAGCATTTTGTTCTTACTGGAATAGACACGTACTCTGGATATGGATTTGCCTTCCCTGCATGCAATTCTTCTGCCAAAACTATTATTTATGGACTTATAGACTGCCTGATCCACTGGCATGGCATCCCACATAGCATTGTTTCAGATTAAGGAACTCACTTCACAGCAAATGAAGTGCGGAAATGGGCCCATCCATGCTCATGGAATTCACTGGCCATATCATGTTCCTCATCATCCTGAAGCAGCTGGCTGGACAGAACAATGGAGTGGCCTCCGAAAGACATAAATACGGCGCCAGCTAGGTGGCAACAACTTGCAGGGCTGGGGCAATGTTCTCCAGGAGGTTGTATACACTTGAAACCACTGGTCAATATATGGTTCTGTGTCTCTAATAGCCAGGATTCATGGGTCCAGGAACCAAGGGGTGGAAGCTGGAGTGGCACCAATTATTACGCCTAGTGATCCACTTGCAGCATTTTTGCTTCCTGTCCCAGCAACCCTATGTGCTTCAGGTTTGGGGGTCCTGGTCCTGAAGGAAGGAACTTTCCCATCTGGAAACACAGCACAGATTCCACTGAACTGGCAGTTGAGCATACCACCTCGCCACTTTGGGCTCCTCATGTCTTTGGATCAACAGGTCAGGAAGGGTGTCACTGTACTGAGTGGTGTGATTGATTCTGATTACCAAGGAGATACTGGACTGGTGCTGCATAATGGAGGTAAAGAAGAATATGTCTGGAATCCAGGAGATCCTGGAGTCTGTATCTTAGTACTATCATGCTCTGTAATTAAAGTAAATGGTAAACTACAACAAACCAATCCTAGCAGGACGTCTAATGACCCAGACCCCTCAGGAATGAAGGTCTGGGTCACCCCACCAGGCAAAGAACCACAGCCAGCTGAGGTGCTGGCCGAGGGCAAAGGTCATACAGAATGGGTAGTAGAGAAAGTTGTTCTACCTATCAGTTACGACCATGTAACCATCAATTGTAAAAGCAAGGTTTGCGATTGTCAATTTAACCTTCTTTTTATGTGCTTATTGAATATCTTTCCTTTGTTCATGTATGATGTACCAGATATAATTAGATTCAGTGTGTTTTCATTTATATGTATGATAGGTAGATTACAGATGTATATTAGTTTTAATTGAATTCATTAATGCCTGGAAATATTATATGGCTAAAGAATTGTGTACAGGTGCCAGGTTGGCAAGAGGTGGGCTGTAATAGGTAGGTTTATTGTGCCAACCTGGCCAATAGGAATATTTAGGATTAATCAGGTCACAGTTTGATTGGAGTAAAATAGATAAATGGCTTGGTAAGGCCTGGCCCTCTCTCACTTGTTCTCTGGTGATCAGACCCAGCGTGCGGCCTGCTTCCATAAGCTTCTGAGCTGCCGACTGGTGGTGACCCACACTGATGTTTGCTACCTATGGGTGGACTCTTCCTACATTGCCTGAGGGAAGACTCAGTTGTCTGCTTCCTTGACCCGGCAGCCCTCGTGAGTTGAAGGCCTTCCAGTATATTAACTTTTCCATGGAAGTGAATTGAAGTGAGCTCTCTGTACTGCTGCATGGACTAATATTTCTTCATGCTGCATTAATCAATCTATCTATCTATCATCTATCTATCTATATTTATAAGTGTCCTGATTTTGTTTCTCTAGTGAACTCTGCCTAACAGACAAGGTATATCATTGCTGATGTCAAATAGGTCTTGACTGAAAATAGACAAAATCAGAACACTGCTGACCCACGTTTCATTGAGAATGCAAAGGCATTTGACTCTGTGATTCATGGCACATTTTGTACACCATTGAGAAGATTGAGAATTCCAGAACAGTTAATTGTGGTCATGTGGAACTTCTACACAGACCAAGAATCAGTCAAACAAAATAAGAGGATATTAAATGTTTTAAATCAGGAAAGGTGTATACCAGGGATGTACATTTCACTATATTTATATAATTTGTATGATGACCAAATAATCTGAGAAGTGAGCACATATATAACACTGAATGCAATATGAAGGTTGAAGGAAGAGTCATTAATAACTTATAATATGCAGATGATACTGCTTTACTTGCTGGAAGGAAGAAAGAAAGCAACTACTGAAGAAAATCAAAGCCTACAACCTTCAGTATGAATGACACCTTAACATAAAAATAAGTAAATTAAAACAACCCTCACAACTAGACTTAGAAGAAACATAATAAACACAGAATATATTGAAATTGTCAAAAAATTATTTTACTTTGCTTCACAATCCATATACATGAAAAAGTGGTAAAAAGAACTAACATATTGCATTTGAAAAACCTGCTGAAAAACAAACACCAATTACATATTAAAGAGAAAATATTTCATTTCTAAGAATTAAGTTTGCCTTATACAAGTGATATTTTCTTTCAGCTAATATACATGGAAAAACTGGATAATGAATAAGAAAGACAGAGAATAATTCATGCATTTAATGAATATAATCATCAATGAATATATTCAGAATATTGGAGATGAATATATTCAGAAAAATGAACCATTCTGTCTTGAAATAAATACAGCCAGAATATTTCTTAGAAGTGAGGAAGCTAGCCTTCATCTTATGTGCTTTGGACATGTTACCAGAAAGGACCAGTGCCTGGAGAAGGGCGTGGTGCTTGCTAATGTAGAGGGTCATTAAAAGGGGGGGGCAGGTTCTCAATGAGATGAACTGAGACAGTGACTGGAAAAATGAACTCAAACACAGAAGTAATCATGATGAGGGTACAAGATCGGATGCGTTTCATTATGTTATATACAGGGTTGAGTCAAAACCAACTCAATACCCCCTAAAAATGATAGCCAATGAAATTGGTTCTCTGTGCCTGCCAGAAGTGGGCCCTGTGGGCCACCAGTGCCTGAGGGCTGTCAATGCTCTGACACGTTTCCACTGAGCTCACATCCAGGTGACTCTATGCACTAGCCTATGATCCTGCCTCATGCTTCCCCATTCTGCATCATTGGCCTGCAGCTACGTAGAAGAGAGCTCTGGTTAGCATTGCCTCCATGGGTGACTCAAAGAATTTTGATATTTTAGTAGATTTTAGGATTCTGGCTTTACTTTATCAAACTCATCATCTTAGTTTCTTAAATATAATGGAAAACACAATGTTATTTAAAAGTTTAGATTTTAAGTATATCCTTCTATTAAAATCAGACTTTCACTGTTTCGATTAAAATGGTTTCCAATTGTAGTTTCAAAAATTTTAGAAAAAATATTTGGTATGAAAATGTATATATATATAACATATATGTATGTGTTATATGACAAACTGATATTTTATCATTCCTATAAAAAGTCAATTTTATAAAATTAAATAAAAAGCATTTCACATCTTACCTTTGATCCATAAGAAATCCAATGGAAGTCAAAGTAAGGATAATGAAGCAAATCCTCAGAAATAGAGTGACTTGTGGTAATGCCTGGAAAGCAAGTACAGAGACCAGTCGAGCCTTGAGGAGCACATACAGGGGAACATAAAGACGTCATGCTCCAATGCCATCCAATATTGCCATCCCATACTGTATACTGTACTAGACTACATACATAGCCCCAAGTTTATACTACACTGCATCATGCACCATGAACTCTGCCAGGAAGTTGAATATGGAAAGGTATTTTCATTTTCATATAGTTGGACATTGGAGAATGAATTAGGCAAACCGACAATTTATATTAAATGTTATTTCAAAAGAAGATCCCTTAAAGTTTTAAATTCATAAATCTTCACATCATGTAGTCCCCCTGTAGGAGAATCCCACTCACAATTTTATGCATAGTTACCACAGTCTAAAAGCTATGAGGGAGCTTCAAAAAAGTTTGTAGAAAAATCAAGTCAAAAGGTCATGGAATTGTTCTGTGACCGTTTTGAATGCTTTATGTATGCTATTTTTCTTCCACTAATTCAAAACATAAATAGCCATTGGGCTGCAAGCCACAAAGTCAGCAGTTCGAAACACAAGCATCTCCACAGAAGAAAGGCAAGCCTTCCTATTCCCGTCAGGAGTTACAGTGTGGAAGCCCACGGGCATTCTTCTCTCTCACATGGGAGCTCAGGCGTCAGTCGACTTGATGGCAGTGAGTTTGTTTGCCTTTTTAAATTCAAAACATAATTTGAAAAGTCTTTATGAATACAGGCAAGCCTCAATTGTAAATTTTCTGTTTATATAAGCTAATTTTAAATGAATTCTGTGTGGTTTTTAACTAGTATCAGTTAGTCAAATATCTTAGATATTTGTATTAGAAAAAAAGTATTTTTCTAAGCATAAAACATAAACATTTCGAGATATCCTAACGTATCTTTGATACAATGATATCCTAGCAGTAACTATAAATTTTGTGTACATAACAGAGTACAATCAATCCTTTGTTAATATGAACCATTGTACAAGGTTTTAAAATATTTGTGAGAAAATTACACTAATATTAAAACATTTGTGAAAAATTACACCATTTTAATTAATTTTCCATGAACTTCTTGAAGTTTCTTCCATGTATTTTGATTTTTAACAAACAAAAAGTTGTTTCAAAATTACTCAAAATACAGAAACACATTCATAACACGTTATATATACATATATATGTGTGTATGTGTCCACATGTAGAGTCACACTTTGCATTGCTAAAAAAAAAATGTACTTGCGACGAGAAAGTAGTTGGTCTTTCAAAATTCTATCCTGCAATCTTCAACTAGTTTCTATCACCAAGGGTGTTATTTCCTAACTACTGTTTCTTCTTCCTTCTTTCCAATTTTTCATTCCAATCACCAAAATGATCAATGCATCTTGACTGCATATTGATTGAGGTCAGGCTGAAGACATTGGCAAAATCCTTGAATTTCTGCACTACTAACTTTAGTGGTTGGTGTATAATTTAGAATAATTGCATTATTCCATTGCCAAGATTTCTTCGTATGTGTATTGATATTACCCTGACCCAGGCAGCATTATATGTTGTTATATCTTGAAATATCCTTTTTGGTCATGAATATAGTCACCTGAGTCTGTCATTCCCAACATAGTAAACTATATGACGACTGCCTGATTCAAAATGGCAAATACCAATCCATTTTGGCTCACTAATAATGCCTAAAATATCTATTGTTCGGTGTTCCGTTTCATTTTTGATGACTTCCAATTTTTGATATTTTTTTACATTTCATGTTATAATTATTAATATATATCTGCAGCTGTTTCTTCTCATTTTGAGCTGTGCCTCAAAGTGACAGTCCAAGGCTTTGCTCCTGAAGGCTTTACTCCAGCCGCACCATTCCCGTCAACTCTATTTTGCAATGGAAACCCTTCCTCCGTCCTGAGTGCCTTCTGCCCTGCGGGGCTCGTCGTCGTCTGCACTGTCTCAGACAGCCTTCCGCTGCTTTTCATAAGGCTGAGTTCTCCAAAGCAGACAGTTTAGGACTTTTTCAGTCTAATCCTAGTCTGGAAGCTCTGCTGAAAACCTATTCGCTTTGGATGACCCTGCTGGTATCTGTAGCTTCCAGAATCACGGCGACATACAAGCAAGCTTCCACAGTATCACAAACTCACAGAACCAGCATACTACGATTGGGTTAATACCAACGCGTACGGATTCAAGGAGACGAGTCTAACTTCCCCTTGTCATTTCCAAGGCTGTGAAACTTAACAGAAGCAGACCATCTTATCTTGTCTCTCAGATTGACTAGTGGATTTGAACCATCAACCTTTTGGTTAGTAATCGAGAGCTTTACTCATTGTGCCAGTGGGGCTCCACTAATGACAAGAAGAAGTATTTTATTTCACAAATTACATTTTCATTATTTACTATAGATGAACAGTTTTCAATGTGTGATTTCCTACTTCATGATATTTAACTATTTTTCACCGCAATTTATAACGCTTATATTCATGTCTTTATAATCGATGCCCACTTTAATTAATGCTTCTTTTGCTCACATTGCATCCGTTACCACCTAGACACTTTAGGAAATGAAATGAAACCCCAAAGGGCTACCCTTGAAAAAAACAGTGCACGCTGGATATTGACTTCCGTGGCCATGGGTCGCAGAACCTTCGCTAGATCGCACTGGAGCCAGTGGCACGCAGTCCCCGCTGTGAAATGCCACTAAAGACGCTGTTTGTTTCCAAAAGGGGTTACAGGACGACACCAGTTACAAAACTGTGGAGCCCGTAGTACTTTACATGGTGCAGCGTTCACGGGATGTTAAAACTGTGCAAATCTGTGTCAAATGTACATGGTTCTTGAATGTCTTGTTAAGTTAACCTATATCACCCAAATGATCCATGTCTAAATAGATTTTGTTTTATTTTACTGTTTTCTCTTATTATAAAAATGTTCCAACTGTTTTGCGTATGTCTATTATTTAAAAGGAGAGCCTTGCCTTTTCCATTTCACTTTGAAAACATGCAAGTATAGTTTCTATTTTTATTTCAAACATGAATTCATGATACCACCTCATAATGTGGACCCTGGCAGCTGACGAACTGATTTCCCAAGCATTACAAACCAAAATCAACATAAAAATCTCTGGGTCATATCACTAAACTAAACAGTATATATGGAAATGACTGTACTCCAGGTTTCAGGCAGAAAGGAATGTGCCTTTGACACCTTTGTCATAGCCATCCAATTGGTTTTTGACTCCCAAAGTTATTTATTCAGAATGTGCACACATAAACCAAATAAGTATTTATCTACTCTGGTCTATACATAAACAGAAAAGATTGTGAGACCACAGCAGGGCCCCCAATTACAAGTCAGCCACAGCTTTTCTATGTGATTATTGGCTACAGTGAATCTGGAAAAAAATATTGCTGTTGGATTTTAACATCTTTGCATGCTTTTAGATATCCCAGAGACCACAAAGGCACTATAGAATTTTGCACACAGGCAACCTTTCTTTTTAGTCACACTGCACATTTTTAGCAAAGAAATATATGTATGGAAAACAAATAAAAATGAACCTTTGAAAATTAACTTGTGTCTGGAATGGATCTGTCTCTGATTCTACTTTAAAAATGAAGAGTTTCAGCACCTGATATTTTTCTTTGTCAATAAAGCCACAAGAGCTTTTCATATAATTTTTAAGGCAATAAAAATTTTTAAAAACCAACCACATGCAATTCTTTTTAGATATAGTCCAGAATATGGGATATGTTTTCACCAAGGAAATACTCACAGACATTCAAACCTCTTGGTGAACTTGATTTTAAGAACTCTATATCAAAATCACATAACCAATCAATGGAATTATATGCAGAAGAAGGTGATACCAGGATGTGAGGAAGACTCATTAACATCTGTTATGTGTATATAATGTAAACTTGTTTGCTGGAAATGAAGAGAACTGGAAACATTGATAAAGATTCAATATTAACTTCAGTTTGGATTACACCTCAAAGTAAAGACAAAAAATCCTCACAACTGAACCAATGAAAACATCATGATAAATTGGAAACAGATTGAAGTTTTCAAGGATTTCACTTTGCCTGGATCCACAATCAATGTGATAGAAGTAGCAGTCAATAACTGTTGGTAGAAAAATGGGAGGACCTATTTCCAAATGGGGAAAAAAGACTAAAAATACTTTTAAGGACCTTAAGTGAGAGGTATGCCTGGTAATATGTACTTCGTAAATCACATTGGCCCTTTCTATGCACCCCCTGGGCACCCAGGTCAAGTGCCACAGAACACTGGGGAACTGATTTGTGTCTTCTAGAGGCACAACACACTCCAGAGCCATAAGAGGGATCTGATGTGGAAACTCCACTGGATAAACTAGGTCCTACTTCAAACACACCTATAACCTGATGACTTCAGACTGCAGTTACATGGTATGTGACGAAAACGCAGAAGACAGCTATGCCAAGATGACTGTGCTGTCAGTAGGCAGACCAGCACGACTTAGGACATCGGTTCCCTGCTTGATGTAGTAAGATATGCATTATCCTGTGACTGACACTGTCAGACCTGTGATTGACATTGTCAGTGAATATTGCCTGACAAGTAATCCCCATTGTTTTGTAAATAGCATGCAGCCATGTAAACATTTATTATGTACAAGTGAATAATTCGGCTGTTGTGATGAGTAATTAGCATACACTGCTTCAACTCCCTCTCTCAGCCGTGCTTTAAAAATCAGTAACATTGGCTAATCAGTGACACTATTAAGAGAAGATGCTTATATTCCAGGGAGATGATCAATCAGATTCTTTATGCTACATTAACAAGGAGGACTCTATAGGGGAGCCAGAGGCAGATAAAAAAACATTGATCCAAGAATGGATATTGGGCTCAGACTTAATCTTCGCTCCTATCTAAGAACAATTAGTGCTAAATACTTGCATGCAGGAAGGGAACACAGAAGAGATGGGTGGTCTAGCACTGGTGCCTGGCTATCAGATAGAATAGCATCTGGGGTCTGAAAGATTTGTTTTCAAACAAGCAGCCATCTAAGTGAGACGTCACCTAAGTCCACATGGAAGAAGCACACATGACCCGAGGACTGTGAAGTATGTAACACAGAGCTGAAGGAGGGAATACAATGACAGCGTAAATTGGGGGATTTGGGTTTGCAGAAGGTTATAGATGGCAGGGGAAGCCCCAAATACATTTGCGAGACACACACAGAAAGTAAGCCTCTGGCGATTTCCATCACACATAATTGAGAGACAAATATGGACTGGTTACCAAAGCGAGAGTACTGGAGAGACGATTACAGCAGATCAGACCGATTAACCTAACTTGAATGGTTAACACCTCATCACTTGATCTCCCCTCTGATACACATGGGGCTTGATCTGGTTGTAATGTTTTGCATGATTATTTTTTTCCACATTGGGGTTTGTCTGTGATGTATTTTGTTACTGTGGGTAGCCTTCTTGAATCTTTGTTATGTGTTTTGTTTGTTTGTTTGTTTTTGGTATATAAAACCCAGGATTGATGAACCTATAGAGAAAATAAGAAGAAGAAGAAAGATTTCTGGGGCATAAAGGGGAGCTGATGTGAAGTAGTTCAAGAAGGAAGAAAATCTGTGAAACTGATTGTGGTAGCAATTGTATAATACTGCTTGATGTGATTGAACTACGAAGTGATATGGTATCTGATTAGCTCCTAATAAAATGGTTTGAAAAAAGAACACACATATATAGATATGAAATCAGACACCATATCGCTTTAGACAAATATGCCACACAAAACATCTCAAAAGTGTTAGAGAGCAAAGAGGTCACTTCAAGAACTACGATGTACCTGACCCAAGCCCTGATATGTTTAATAGCATGTAATCATGGTCTCACACATAAGAGAGAGTATGAGGATTGTGCAGTAGCTCATTCTGCTGTATAAATATGAGCATACGATGAGTGAAAGCCAATTTAGTAGAATCTCAGAACAACAACATACAGAAGCGCTAGCAGCACAGTCATTTAAGTGCTGAGCTGCTAACACAAACATGCAGCATTTGAATCCACCAGCCGCTCTGCGAAGAGAAAGCCGGCACAGTCTGCCTCCTCAAAGATTACAGGCTTCACACTGTGAGAGGCACTTCGACTCGCTTATAAGTCGGAAACAACTTGACGTCATTGAAGTTGGTGTTATATATCAAATTACAAAAGTTAGCACTGCATCTTTATTTCTAGTAATTACTTACAGATGCAGTCTCTGGTTTATCATTGATGGCTTTTATTTGGCAAAGTGGAGAATTCAATACTGCAAAATATATTCAGCATTGCACAATAAGCAAAGTGTACTCAACATTCATCACTATTACAAGAACTGCATATTTATATACCCATTTCCCCCCTCTAACTTCATTCACGTATCTAAAGAACTCCATGAATATTCTAGTCATGGTTGATGTGAACAAATGAATCATCTTAAAGAAAAAGGATGATAAATGATGTGTCATTACACATTACTCAAAGAGATTATCAGGAGGTTCTCAGCTAAACAACTAACACATCGAACCATTTTGGAAGCTTGATGTTGACATGGGTGCTGGTTAGTGTCATGTGCTTCATGCTGCTCTTGTGAAAGGTCTGTTGTTGAAATAAAAGCTTGGGTTAAAATTTTGTCTCTTTGTGGGATAAAGAAAAGAAAGAAAGGAAGAAAGAAAATATCAATGTTTCAACATTAGTTGTGTGTGTGTGTGTGTGTGTGTGTGTGT